TGAAGAGTAGGAAGATAACCGACTCTTAAGAGGATAACCGACTCTATTGACAGAAGACATTCATCGGAGTGAGACGGCTCTAATGGAAAAAATAATTAAAGGTAATATACATACACATCGGGTTAATGGGACACCCCCATTCTCGATGTCAAAAAAGTTTATATAATTTTTCGAATCTACACTAATTCAAGAATGTCCCTACAAAATTTCAAGTAAAATTCTCAAGAACTCTTGATTCTCAAACTTGTGAGCTATATCTAAATCTGGTCCGATTTTCAGGAAACTTGACACACATCAGTCAAGACCTAATTCATTACGCTATGCCATATTTCGTGCAAATCGAAAGAAATATGGGGACTTTGGTACACCATTTACATTAAATCGGACGAAAATATATATATGGGAGCTATATCTAAATCTGGACCGATTTTCAGGAAACTTGAAATTTCATACAAATTGAAAGATATATCGGACGAAAATATATATGGGAGATATATCTAAATCTGAACCGATTTTTCTCAATTTCAATAGGGTGCGTCCTTGGGCCAATTAAGTGACCTATGCCAAATTTCATTCAATTCGGATCATAAATGCGACTTGTACTTTGTTTACAATTTAACATGGACAGAAGGACGGACGGACAGGCGGGCGGACAGACGGACATGCGTAAATCGACTTAGAAAGTGATTCTATGCATATTCTCAAAAGGAACCATGTCTCTATCTCGTTTCCTTTTGCTTGTTACAAACATATGCACGAAGACATAATACCCTGTACCACAGTGTTGTTAAATTTTGATCGAAGTCAATAATCATAATTCATACGAGAGCCAGACATGTACTCTTTCTAAAACCCTTGAAAACACAGGTTCCCGACCCAGTACCTGTATAAAATGTCATAAAAATTAATGTCGGTAAAGATGTGAAAATTCGGTATAAATCTGTATCTATTTCGTGATTTCAAAAATATGGGACTGTCAAACTATGTTGTTAATGCATATTAAGCCATTTACCTTTGCACAAAATGAGTTCTTCGGTATTTCACCTTCTAAAGAGTACGATGTTCATATCACGTAATTTGGAAAGTTATATATAATGAATATTCATCGGTTATTGATTTTTTCCGAATTGTTTGGCTAATATTTAGCTTTGAGCCCCCAAATTTTATTTTCTACTATGGATGAGGACTGTTTTTTAACATCTTAATAGAGTAAATAGAAACACTTTAATTGTTGTTACATCAGATCTTCTATAAGTCCTTATAAAATAAAAAAAATATATATTACCCCATTTAAAATTCCACCCACACCAAGCGTGGAGTTGCATTTCTAATTAAACTTGTTTTCAAATTGGCAAAGTTTATTCTCTCTCTCCTACTCGGCAACAATCACAACTCTCAAGTTGTTGGAATTTCTTAACAAGTCTGTCAAGTTTAGAGCAAATGTTGTTAACTTTTCTTGTGGCAAATTATGTTTCTTCATATTGCAGTAGCTGCTTTGCTCATTATATTTATCTTTGAACCTACACCCCGCACACCACATCACTACCTTTGCTAATAAGCTGAAACTCATTATCATTAACCTCCAGTCGCAACATCTTAACATCTCTATGACATCCAAAACCCTCTCCCCCACTTTTCTAGCACACACGTCAAGATGTCTGTTTATCTAATAAAGCCCTTAGTCACTGATTATCAACCACACTTATACACCCACACATTGTTGTTAATTGGTTTGTCCATGTATTTGTTGTTGTGCTTCATTGTTTTTTTTTTATATCGGTATATTTTTTTTAATTTTCAGTTTATCACTCACCCATGCCCTTGGCCTGCAACATTTCCAATAATTTCTTAATGCTTTCGTCGCGTGCAATCAAAGTTTGTTTTTGTGTTTCGACACGACACTCCAAATCTTTGATTGTCTCTCGCAAAATGCTAATTTCACGCTGCAAATGATCATTTTCCGCGTAGACCGCCTCGATTTGTTGCTGCATCTCAATGTTCGGTTGGCGCATACGAGCACGCAGTTCCTCTTCTAATTGACGCACCAACATTGCTTGTTTCTGGAAAAGTTAAAAAAAAAATTAATTATGTAAAGACTATTCCAATTGAAGTATTCAACATTTTTTCTCAATTCTGGATTTTAATATTTTTTTTTATCTGAAAGTTTGTATTTTTTAAGAAATATTTTAAAATATTTAAATATATTTTTTGAAGGACGATCCATAGACTTCGATTTATAAAAAAAATATTTCTAAGGATCACTCATAGGCGTGGTATTCTAAAAAATATTTCCATTGGCTTTTAATTAATAAAAAAATATTTTTTCAATAAACATAGGCGTGAATTTAAAAAATATATATTTTTTGACCATCCGTAGGCCTGGATTTATAAAAAATATATAAAAAAATTAAAAAATAGTGGCCACTTTCGTCCTTAAAAAAAAGCATGCCTATGGAAGTTATTAGAATAAAATACACTCTCGTTAATCGCTGAAGAAATATTCTTTAAACCAGTAAGGAAAGTAGTAAAGTCGGACGGGGACGGGGGGTATCATATATACCCTTCACCACTGTGGGTATATTCAACAGATGAATCCTAACAGACGTCGCATTTTTAAAGGACCAGTAAAATGAAATTGGATCCATAAAAATGTCATTCTCCAACCGATACTACATTTTTCATTTGGTCAGATATAGAAGCTATATCTAAATCTGAACCGATTTTCAGGAAACTTAACACACATCATTCTAGGCCTAATTCATTACTCTGTGCCAAATATCGTGCAAATCCAAAGATATATAGGGACTTTGGTGCACCATTTACATTAAATCGGACGAAAATATATAAGGGAGCTATATCTAAATCTGAACCGATATTCAGGAAACTAAAAACACATCATTCTATACCTAATTCATTACGCTGTGCCAATCGAATGATATATAGGGACTTTGGTGGACAATTTACATTAAATCGGACGAAAATATATATGGGAGCTATATCTAAATCTGAGCCGATTTTCAGGAAACTTAACACACATCATTCTAGACCTCATCCATTACGCTGTGCCAAATTTCGTGCAAATCGGAAGATATATAGGGACTTTGGTGGACCATTTACTTTAAATCCCAATCAGTTCAGATATGGGTGCTATATCTATATCTGAACTGATTTTCAGGAAACTTAACACACATCATTCCAGAACTAATTCATTACACGGTGCCAAATTTCGTGCAAATCGAAAGATATATAGGGACTTTGGTGCACCATTTACATCGAATCGGACGAAAATATATATAGGAGCTATATATAGATTTGGACCGATTCTCAGGAAACTTAACACACATCATTCTACACCTATTTTCAGGAAACTTAAAACACTTCATTCTATACCTAATTCATTACGCTGTGCCAAATTTCGTGCAAATCGAAAGATATATAGGGACATTGGTGCACCATTTACATTAAGTCGGAAGAATATATATATTTATATATATATATATGGGAGCTATATATCGATTTGGAGAGATTTTCAGGAAACTTAACACACATCATTCTACACCTAGTTCAGTACGGTGTACCGATTTTCGCGCAAATCGAAAGATATATAGGGACTTTGGTACACTGTGCCAAATTTCATCCAAATCGGATCACAAATGCGACCTGTACTTTATTAACAAAAATACATGGACATACATCCACGCTTTTTAGACCTTGGAAAAATATTCCTTAAAATCTTGACACCAAGAAAAATATATATTTTTTAATATGACGTCGAAATCATCGGCTACAGAACAAATGACGTCGGGAGTCATCGGCTATGGAGCAAATTATGTCGGAAGTCGTCGGTTATAGAGAATATGATGTGAGAAATATGAAGTCTTCGGCTATGGAGCAAATGACGTCGGAAGTCATCGACTTTAGCGACGTCAAAAGCCATTGGTTATAGAGTTGATGACGTCAGAAGTCATTGGAAATAGAAATGCTAACTGCATTTGTTATATATAGATCAGAGGACATCAACAGACCTTGGTTATTGATGTCAGAAGTCATTATCAATAGAGCTTATGACGTCAGTGGATCTGATGACGTCAGAAGTCATTAGCTCTGCTGGAAATGAAGTCATTGACTTTAGAGAGCTAATGACTTCTGACGTCATCAGGTCCTCTGACGTCATAAGCTCTATCGATAATGACGTCATCAACTCTATAACGAATGGCTTTTGACGTCGCCATCTCTAAAGTCAATGACTTCCGTCACATGACTTCAAAATTCATTATCTATAGACCTGATGACGTTGAAAGTCATTGACAATATAACTTATGATGTCAGAAGTCATTAGAAATTGACCTGATGATGTCAGAAGTCATTTGCAATGGACCTGATGACGTCAGAGGTCATTTGTTCTGTAGCCGATGACTTCTGTCGTCATCTGCTCTATAGCCGATGACTTCTGTCGTCATCTGCTCTATAGCCGATGACTTCTTATAACGTCGGAAGGCATTTGCTGTAGATCTGATAACGTCGAAATTCATTTGCTATGGACCTGATGACGTCAGAAGTCATTCACTCTTCTGAAAATGACGTCAAAGATCTGATGCTGTCAAGAAGTTATTTGCAATGGACCTGATGAAGTTAAAAGTAAATGGCTATAGACTTATGACGTCGGAAGTCATTGTCAATATGTCGTCAGAAATCATTAGCAATGGTCCAGATGATGTCAAAAGTCATTGGCTCTTCAAGAAATGACGCCAAAGATCACATAATTCACCCTACATAACCTCCAGGGTCACAAGTAATGAAGTAAATAAATATCCATTAACATACCTGATTTTCTGTGCTTAGCAATTTCAGCTGGTCATTGATCAAACTGTACTTCGCGCTTTCTTCTTTGCGGAGGGCTCGTTCCTTTTTCAGTTCGGGTGACCAAAAAGTCTTAATACTGTGCATGGAACTACCGAGTTTTTGATTTGTCAACTCCAATTCGCGTTTAAGTTGACCCAGCTCTCTCTGCAGATCTGTATTCTGATGTTGTAAATCGCCCAAATACGCTCGATCCGTTGGCGGTATGCCCGAGTTAAAACCTGAGAATACAATAAAATGGAAGAAGAACAACAATAGAATAAATTTTGATTAATAAGTCTCTCTGGAAATTATTGCAGTAAATTGAATAAAATAAGGATGAGAATCTAAAACTTACCCAACGGATTAGGACTCTGCCTTGCCGAACGCCCATAGAGTTCATCTTCCAGATATAAACCTCGCTCCAGTGATCGATCTCGCGAACGATCTCTGGGCTCACGTATGGGTATGAACTCACGATCATGATGATCAACCAGACCACCTCTATCCAAGGACTGATAACGGGGGGCTCCTTTCGAAGAAAATAAAAATAAATCGAAAAGAAAATATTTTCGTTCGGTTAGTTTTTCAAATTGAATACTATTTTCAGCTTGTCACAAAATTCAATATTTACTTGGATAATCCAGACCATGTGACATTACGGGTCTACTGGCACTTCGACTTCGATGATGTCCCGCCCCCGCGGGACTTGTTGGCTCATCCATGTCTCTGTAGTATGGACTGCCCATTGCTGAAATTCATACAATTATGATGATGATATCATGAGGATGATGACAGGGTTTGGGGGTGAGAAAATAGGGGGAATATGTGGTTTGTTTGATTGTTTGTTTTTGGTTCGGTTGGGTTAGGTGAATTGGTTGGTGGAGATTTCCGGGGGTAGGGAGTAGAATTGTTGTTTGGTTGGGTTAGTACAGAAAATAAATTCGAAAACAAAAACAAAACGAAAAATTTAGAAAAAACAGTGCAGGCGGGATATATTTTTGTTTGTCTTTGGATTTGCTGCTATTGTAGCGTTGTTTAGAAGAGAATCAAAACGAAACAAAAGAGAAAATGCTTACAAAGAGAAACTGAAAAACAAATGAAAGCTAACGTAAAACAAAACAAAAATAAACTTAACAGGAAACATTAGAAAGAACATTAGAAAGGAACTGAAAAAAAAACTTAAAAACGAAACGCTATTAGCGCCAAATAATGAGTGTCATCATTGTGTTTGTTGGCTTGTTTTGTGAGTATGTGTGTGAGTGTGTTTTTGTGAAAAATGGTGCAAGCTACGTGATTGAAGGACAACGTGATGTCGCAAAAAAGGCAAAACTTGCGGATTGTATACACAATTAATAGTCTCCTAATGACCCTAATTACGGTTGAGAGTTCCATCAAATCTGTCATTACGCTTTGAGTGAAGCGATTTCGTAAAATTCGAAAGAAGATACCAGGAAATTGCTCTTTAAAAATAAAAAAGAACACCAATTGAAAATTTTATGGAACGCCTGCGAAAAGGAGTGCAATTTAACGACTTTCCAAAAATGCAAAGAAATAACGATAATTTTCGATTGAGAAAAATTAGAGACAGACACTTTCGAATGAAATCGTTCAATGTTGAAAGTTAGAAACACAAAATCTTGTATTCGACCGATAAAATACTTAAATTTTATATCTTTTATAATACAGGACTTAATCTCGCTGGATAACTTGGACGAATAAAGAACGATAAATTTTTAACAGCTCGAATATAAAGGAAGTTAAGTTATACGCCTGTGAATACTACTCCTTGCTATTTTTTCAATTCCAATCATTTTTGGGACAGTTTTTTAAGCCTCAGGTGTACCTGGTGGAGATTGTTGATACTCGAATCCGAAAAATATGATGATCAGTGATATATGAAAATCGGCACAAGTGGTCCAAAAACTTTAACGAGGTGTTGAAGAAAAGAATAAAATTCGGTATAGGTCATATATAACTGCGATCTCCTGCAAATCTGAATATTTTGATTTCAGCAACAGGCGTGGAATAAAAAAATAGTGAAGCATATAGATCCGCGAAGTGGATAGTGTATCCAAGAGGAATGGTTGACCTTCAAAATGACTCCAATTAAATTCGGATGTGGGAGTTACATACAAATATTTACAGGTGCTTACGTATTCAGATATTATTTAGTAACCCATTACCTCATTGGAGGGCAGAAATATAGCGCTGATTCCTTTAAAAAATTCCATGAAGTTAAAGATATGGTCAAAGACAACGCCTATAATTTTCGATGATGATCAGATTAAAATTTTGGGATGAAGTGGACCGAAAACATAATTTTTTTGTGTGTTTCCGTGGTAATTGTGTAGGGTATCGTATGGTCGGTCCCGTCCGACTATACTGCTCCGCTGAGTTTTTCGGTTTCAATCTGGACAAATATGTGAGTCAATGTAGGCGCATATTTTGATATAGATCCCATATAGGAGTCTGCCCGACATTATTAATGATGGAGGTTATATATTGTTCGATTCTGCCAAATTTTACGATTTTTATATGCCAACACTCACCAAGACGCACATGGTTAGGAAATCTAACACGGCTTTATCCAATAAACCTGGTCGAATATGAAACTGCAACCACCACTTTAAAGCGTCTTAGATAACTACTATAAACACTTCTGACCTGAAAATTCCGCAAATCGAATGAAAGAATCGCGAAAGAATCACTTCGAAGCAAATTTTCGCCTGAAGTTTTCAAAGAAATTTAAAAAAATTAACAGAGAAGACTAATTATTATTCACCATAAAAATATGAGCATATCGACTCAAGTCACCACCTTTTTGACCGGTTAAAATATGGAATTGAAGAGTCATCAGCCGTGCAACCCTGACATCGGAACCAAACACCTTTTTATTCCTTATTATATTATATTCGGCAAGGGTTCATCACCAAAAAGGGCTTACCATCCTCCATTTTGTCAATAGTGGTATAACCTACAATTTCTGGAAACTGAGTGTGATGAAGGCCACACTTTTTCCTACCTAACTACCTCATAAGGCATACAAATTATCTAAACCTTCTACAAAAATTGTGATTCTGGTTTATAAGAGGAGATTATGATTCATATAGTCGTCCGTCCAACTGCAATTGACAAAATGGTGATGAAATTTAAACAGAATGTAACATATTGAAAGGCCTTTGCATCATCGTTTCGCTCCTTCTCCTGAAAATATCGCCAATGAAAAACGACATTTCGGAGGTGTATGGACAAATGATTACCAAGTTTTTTTTTTTGGCTGCTACTGACTTGGAGAATATGTGGTTGTGCTAATACTTGGGGAATATGTGGTTTCAACAAGACTTTGTTACACAACTCGAGTGAATATGGTTTTATTGAAAAAGACATTGCACAAAAAAGGAGACAAGACGATATGTGCCAACTATAGAGGAATAAGTCTCCTTGCCATCGCATATAAAGTGCTATCCATTGGACCATACCAATGTGGCTTCAGGCCTGGCAAATCCACCATTGACCAGATTTTCACTCTGCGACAAATCCTGGAAAAGGCTCTCGAAAAATACATTGACACATTCAACCTATTTGTCGACTATAAAGCCGCATTCGACAGCCCTTTCCGTTCAGAGGTGTATAAAGCAATGTCTACGTTCGGCATTCCTGCAAAATTAATACGCCTATGCAGGATAACTTTAAGTGACACAAGGTAAGCAGTTATAGTAGGAAAGGACCTCTCGGAGCCCTTCAATACCGAACGAGGATTCAGACAAGGTGACAGTTTGTCGTGTGATCTTTTTAACATCCTGCTGGAAAAGGTCAAACGAGACGCAAAGGTGAACAGAAATGGCACTCTGTACACCAAACAACACATTTTACTCGCCTTCGCCGATGACATCGATATAATGGGTCGAACATTGCGAGCTGTAACAGCCACCTTTGAACAAATTGAACGAGGAACGTGGTCTTCCAAATTGGTGGATTTGCGCACAAGACCGACGCGCCTTAAAATCTTTTTTAAGCTCTGCTTATGGAACAGCCGTACTGTAACAAGCCAGCTAAGTAAGTAAGTAGGATTTCCAGGCCGCGTAATTTCTCTTCGTTATTCACTATCTACTAGGATCATCTTACGCGAAATACCGTGTTTATACGGTGTATCTGTATAAACAATTCTTCAACTCTTGAGCACTTAGAAACCAACTTTCCTCATTTTATGGCTGATATACCGCCCAACATGTGTCAAAAAGTGGAATACATCCATAGAGCTCTCTATGAAATCGAGGTGAGAGTACAACCTATTATCCTAGATCGAGTAGGTAGATGGGACCCATTGGCCCACTCCTTTTGGTACCTCCCCCACAAAATGGTCAACATCCTCCTCCATCCACCGACTAACGTTTTTTTACTTTTTTTAATTTCACACATTATGCCATATAATGGCAACTTTCGTTATTTTGATAGTCTCTAATTTGGTATTTTGGAGGCATACAGAAAATCATTGACACATGTTTCAACATCACCCTCATATGAAGGCCCTGCCCAATTTTGTGGCTTGAAAATCGGTTATTTCTTCATCGAAAATTTGCATAACTCTACATGATAAGGAATATATATACTAAAATTAATAAAATACATAAACATAGGACAAGAAACGGCGAATTGAGAATAGACCATTAAAACGATAAAATGTAGATTTCTCGTTTTTGAGGACCGCACCTAAAATCTTCGAGCAAACTGTGTTGTAGAATAATCGTATATTGTAATATTTACAGTCCGGTTCAATAAATTAAGGACGAATGGGACACTCAATAAATCGAATTTGTTCTACAAAAAATTCATCATTCGATTGTTCCGATGAAATGAAATCACAAAAAATGCATAGACACTCTGCAAATGAAGATATATGAAGTTATATGAAGTCTCTGAACGTAGACCTATGGCGATTGTTTTTCTTCGGGTGTTTTCATATTCTCATCAAGGTCTTCCACCCCAAGGAGAAATTTTTATTCCACAAAATCTTGTCGCATTGTGCTATCAGACAATTTACAATGACAAAGTCTCGCCCCGGCAAAATAAGCAGACATAGGTACCGGGATTAAAAAAAAATCCGCCGGGACAAACTTTTTATCCCCTCCACCAAAAAGTGGAGTGTATATTAAATTTGTCATTCTGTTGGCAACACCTCGAAATATTCACCGAAGACCCCACAACGTACATATATATATATATATTACTGAACAGAATATTATTCATTGTCGATATACGCATGTCCGCCTTTTTGTACATGTGTTTTAATCACGATAGAGTCCACAATATTTAAGAAATTGCTAGTATATATCCTCGTAGGATATTTGGTATTGCAAATGGGATATATCGGTCCAAGTTTTGGTATAGTCCCCATATAACGATACACCCCAATATTCATATTTTTTCACTACCCAAAATGATCAATATTGATCGCCGTTTTGGTATAGCCCCCATAAAACGCTAGCCGACCTATTAGGTAATAATCTTTTTCAGGTCTTTTTCAGTTTATTCAAGGTTCTATAATTTTCTCCTAGAGGCCCAGTAATTTCACAAAGTATGAATGCCATCCTCATAATGGAGGGTATGACAAGTTCGGGAGGGCCGAATTTAAATTATTTTTTAGAGAAATACAATATTTCGAAAAGTTTACGTGATATAGGTTACTAAAGCCGAATGTATTATTTGAAAATCCACCTCCATGCCAATCGTGTATAGTCTTCAATTTATAGTCTTTTATTATTTCTCCAGGTCGAATCTTTTACTTTTTTAATAATGGGAATTACAAATGCAGGAACACTTGTTTACAGGTCTAGTTCAGCTATTTTCGCTGAATTGATTTATGATATTAAGGATAATGATTTTTATACCCTCCACCATAGTATGGAGGGTATATTAGTTTTTTTTTCGTTATTAACGCATCGAAATAATAATTTCCGACCCTATAATGTATGTATATTCTTGATCAGCGTAAAATTCTATGACGATTGAAGCCAAAATTGATGGGCTACATCGGTCCACGTTTAGGCATAGCTCCCACATAAGGATACCCCCAATTATCAGTATTTTGAGGTTTTTGAGCGCGTTTTTCAACTAAATTCGCTGTAATTTGGTACTTTGAGTTCTTATTGGGTAGCAAATCTCTCCACTAAAAATTATAAATATCCGAAAATATGGACCATATTTTCGGATAGCCCTCATATAAGGGTACCCCCAATTTTGGGGCATTTTGAGGGATTTGATCGCATTTTTCGACCGAATTCGCTGAAATTTGGTACTTTGAGTTCTTATTGGGTAGCAAATCTCCATACTAAAAATTATAAATATAGGTCCATTTTTCGGATAGCCCCCATATAAGGGTATCTCCCAATTTTCGGTGTTTTTGGGTTCTCGGGCGCGTTTTATACCCAATAAGAACCCAATGAAATTTTGTCACTGGGTTCTTATTGGGTACCAAATTACTCCACTAAAAATTATTAATATAGGTCCACTTTTACTGGTAGTCCCCATATAATGGTACCCCAAAATTTTCGGTATTTTGGGGGGTTCTGATCGTACTTTTCGACCGAATTGACTGTAATTTTAGAAAAAATTCGCATTAAAACTTGCTGACATTTTTATTTGGTTTACAGGGTTGCCCATATTCGACGGACCCATCTGGCAACGCCATAACTTTTGACAGAGATGTCACATCGCTTAATGACATACCGTGTTTGAAGCGTCAGTCCAAGCAGATTTTTACCATGAACCAATACACGTCATGCGAACGCTCTGAAATAGTTGAAATTTACATCCAACAGAAGAAGTCAATTGTGAAAACTCAACGTGCTTTTAAAACATTAAAAAATGTGAGAAGTGCGCCTTCTAAGAACACCATTAAGCGTTTATACGAACAATTTTCGACTGGTAAGGCTCTTTCTAATCCGAAGAGGCCATATAAAATTCGACCAAAGCGATCGGCCGAGAATATCGCTGCCGTACGAGCGAGCCAGTGTTGAGAGGTCCTCAAGAACATACCAAAAACGACGTTCTCAGCAGTTGGGCATGGCTCGGTCCACTTTACAACGGATTATCCGCATTGATTTGCATTTGTTCCCGTACAAAATTCAATTGACGCAAAGAATGTTGCCTGCGAACAAGCCTCGTCGATTGGAATGGGCCCAAAGAGTCATCGAAATGGCCGAAGATGACGAGCAATTTTGAACAAAAATTATCATGTCCGATGAAGCCCATTTCACATGGAATGGGACCGTAAATAAGCAAAATTGCAGTTTTTACGCCACTGAAAATCCTCAGGAGATTCAAGAAGTGCCTCAAGTCACAGTTTGGTGCGGCGTTAGTGCGAAAACGGTCATTGGGCCGTTTTTCTTCCAAAATGAAAATGGTTATGCTGTTACCATCAATCAGGAGCGTTATCGCGACATGATGACCAATTTTGTGATGCCAATTATTCGTCGAAAGCGTATGAGGCAGTTCTGGTTTCAACAAGACGGCGACCCACCGCACACAATCGATTTTCTGAAGAATTTGTTTCCGGGCTATTTGATGTCGAAAAGTGGTGATTTGGACTTGCCACCGCGTTCGCCCGATTTGACGCCGCCTGACTTCTTCTTGTGGGAATATTTGAAGTCAATGGTTTACGTTAACAAGCCAAGGACCGTTGTAGAGCTCAAGGACAACATTCGTGAAGAAATAGCCGCTATTCCGGCCGAAATGTTGGCAAAAACGATGGAAAATGCAGCAAAAAGGGCACAATACGTCATCAACGCCAGAGGCGGCCATTTGAGAGATATCATATTCAAAAATTGATGTAAACAAATCTACTAGGAACAAATTAAATGATTAACATTGCTAACCGCCAAATTTTTAGTTTTTTCTTTGTTTTTTTTTTTTTTTTTTTTTTTTTTTTTAAATGGGTCTGTCGGATATGGGCTACCCTGTACATAAATCCGTTTGTAGAATTATCGGTATAGGTTCTTTTTGGTATTTTCCCCATATTTTTCATGTATTTGTCAATACACCTATGGTGCAGGGTATCCAAAGTTCGGCCCGGGCGAACTTAACGTTTTTTTTCACTTGTTATCTTTTAAATTAATCAATTATATGATGTCCTCTTTAGTGCAAATTTTGAATATAATAGTTATAACCATATTTTCAAGACAGTCTCCTTAAATGAGAGTTTTGTTGCCTATTTTAGTAAAAAGGTAATAACTCTCTTTTGAACTTCTCAGTTAAATCTATAAAATATATGAATAGCTTATTTGTCTAAGTTTTTCTCTGTGATTTATATTTCCATACTTTTTATATGGACGATTAAAGTAACACATTAAGTTTTCAAACTCCTACCCGAACATTTTAAACTTCTCGTCTTTTTTTCATGCATCCTTCTATTTAAGAAGTAATAAATTTGTTTTATGAATATTTTCACAAAACCATTAAAGTGACATCTGTGGTTAATTTGAAAACTTTAAGCCGCACTGCCATCAAGAAACTATTTCAAAGAAAATATAAAAATTAAGATGTGTTTTTGTGCCTGAGGCTGGGACACAACCACTCTGGGTTGGGATAAATCTTAAGCCAAACCACTAATGTGTAGAGCTTTTGTGGGATGTTTTAAGAGCAATAATAATGAAATGAATGTGTGTGTGGGTAAGAGAGGGGCATACTACATAACTATGGGAGAGTAAGAGCGAAGCCAACTTAAAACAATGAAACCCGGAAAGAAAGGGCAAGGATCCTTTTGATTGTGTTTCTGTGTCGGTGTGTGTGTGTTACTTGATGACTTGATAAAGCTGAATTGTGTGACACACTCACTCACACGCATACACATGTGTGTGATTCTCCAAAAACAAAACAATAACAATTAAAATAATGGACAACAATATGGCGAACGGACGACGACGACAAGAAGAACAACAACAATAATGATGCCATTATTTACTAACCATAATTGCAATCCAGTTTGAGGCTTTTTTAATGTTAACTTGTCAGAGAGGTGAACAAGAGCGTGACGGACACACTCACATACAAGCAGACACACACACTCGCACGGACACAAATGACACAGGTGTGTGTTTGTGTGTGTAATTATCAACACCGAAATATGGCTGAAATATGAGTTGGCGATGCGATGCGTTGTCTTCTTCTTCTCTCTTTTGATAGTTTTTTTCTGCTGCCTGCAAAAACTATTTTGGATGTTGTCCTGTCGCTGCTGCTGCCGTGGCTGATGTTGAGATAAAATACTTTTGTGATGCGCTTAAATGTGGCGTAATGAGAAAACTGAGATAGAGACCGAGAAGAAGGATTTGGTCCTTTCCTATAATTATTAATGCGAGCCTTTAGTTCACAAAACAACTGTCCTTTTCTTCGGCAACTTTATTTGTTTTTGGTGGAAAATGGAATTTGTGTGTGTGTTAAAATAACCATTTTTACACGTAGCGTGTATGTCACGTTGCAAAAGTTAAGGAGTGGGTGAGTGAGTGATGTTGCGTGTATGTGAAATTGGGGTGATGTGACAAAATGATAATGTCACGTTGTTTTAACAGTGATGGTGATAGTAGTTTGTTTGTTGTTTTTGGTTTTGGCAAATAATGTACATGGTGGGTGGTTGGTGTGAGAGGGGGTGTTGTGTGGCGTTACGAGTTGATGGGGTTAGCGTGAGTGGCACGGTGCAAAGTTTTACAAATGGAATTTGTTTTTGTTTATAGTTTTTTGTTGTTTGTGATTTTTTAGGAAAATAAAAAGAAGTTTTTTTTTCAAATTAAAATAAAAATCACCAACAAAACAAAAATTCAAATCAAAATTAAAAAAAATAATGCATTTAATAAAAAGCCAACAAAAAGTATGTTTTCATGCGCATGCGTGATGTAAGATAATAAAATTAGTTTAGGATCAAAAATAAATTATATTAATTTTTTGTTGTTCTTAAATAAAAAAATCATATATCATTTTCTTCATAATTGCACTCTTAAAACTAAAACAAAAAAATAAAATAAAAATATTTTCTAAAGAAAAATTGGTTTGTTAGTTAAAATTTATTTAGCATATCTTATTAAATAGTAAAAAATAAAAATAAATCTTTAACGTCTGTTAACGTGCAAATAATTATATAATTTGTATAATTTTGAAATATTTATTTTGAACTATTTTTTTTTAACATACTTTTCTTTTACTTTCCCTTTCTACAAATTACTCTTTGAGCAGTTGGTTTACGTTGAGATCTTTGTTTAAATACTCTAATGAATTTTATGATAATTTAATTGTTGTTGTTGTTTTCAATGAAAACGTTATTGTCCTGGGTATTCCATCCTTCTATCTGCGCCGTATATTTTTCTTTGTGGCATTTCCGTATTCTCTTTGGGGACTAGGGCATAAATACATTCATTTTATTTTATTCTATAATGTTTTTTCCTTTTATCAAGTTTTTTCTTTCGTTTAATTTTTATCAATTGCAATGTTTGTGGAATTATTATGTTTGAGGTTTGGCTCTTAAGGGCAAGAAAGGTCTGTCAGAGGATTTGTATTTTTTAAGTCGACTTTTAACGGCATAATAGGCATTTTGTTGTTTTTTTCATTTTGGTTTTAACATCCGGAAATATGGGCCCACATACTGGTATTTATACCGATCGATATTGTTTAATAATACCAGTCTTTTCCATGGGCTATAAAGACATAGTTTTTTAATGTATTTTTCTTAAGTGTATCACGGTGTAGATTTTTAAGAAATAGTTTTTTCAACGATAATGATTTCTTAAAAAAAACTTATAACAATCAGTTGCCTCAAAGCATATTTTTTTTAGTTTTTCAGGGACTATGGCTTTGTAGGTTTATAAAAAATGTGTTTCTATACTGACATAGATTTTAACCAAAAAATGAAAATATTTCCTGAGGACTAAAACGACGTAGATATTCTGGATTTAAAACAAAAAATTGCAAGGACCATCATGTTAGTTTTTTATTTATTTTAGCGTTAATTTTCATACCCTACACAACTATGTTGTCAGGATATTATAGCTTTGTGTAGCCCAAAGAATTTGTAACGCTTTAAGTATACCGATCGTCATATCTCGACTAGCTGAGTCAATATACACATGTGTGTCCGTTAGTCCATCTGCCCATTATAGCGGTCGCAATTATGACACGAACACCAGGGTCAAATGAACCCAGACTTTTGTGTGAAAATGACATCTGGGCGCATATATTTACTCCTGAAGGACAAGAAATTCCAATTGGGGTCAAGGACGAAACCTATTGTTTTTGGTAGTAAACAGTTCATATATAGGGGATTAAATGGACCGAAAAGTTTATTTTTGTCTGGGTTTCTAGTCTTTCTAGAGTCCATACACGAGGGCATATGGTCTACTGTTTTAATAATGATCGATCTATATTTAGCTGGTCAAATGAACCAAGACTTATGATTTAAGTGTTCACTACAGGAACGTATGATTTGGATAAG